ATCAGGTTACGGAGGGTTTGTAGCTGATATAAAAGACAGCCAATGTTTTGGTATTTGGTCATATAGTGAGAGTAGCATGAGTTCTACTTGGAGAGAGATTGAAGCTGTTCATAGGGTGTTGAAGGAGCAACAGCAGCGCCTGGAAGGGCAAAGTGTGCAATGGATGACTGACAATAAGAATGTTGCTAGAATTTTCCAGGTGGGAAATAAGGTTGCTAACCTACAAAGCATAGCGCTTAAGATTGTAACATTGTGCAAAAGGAACAATGTTGAACTGTGTCCAACTTGGATACCAAGAGAGTTGAATACTGTAGCGGACGGGCTCAGCAGAGTTTCCGATAGTGACGATTGGTCTATTTGTGAAGACAAATTCCGTGTTTGCAATAGTCGATGGGGACCTCACACTATAGATAGATTTTCTACAAATCTTAACAATAAGTGTGAAATATTTAACTCAAGGCATTGGTGTATAGGTACAGAAGAAGTTGATGCCTTTGCTCAAAAATGGAGCATGGAGATTAACTGGATTGTCTCACCAGTCAGACTTGTGTCTAAAGTTATTAAAAAGATGAAGCATGATAAAGCTACTGGTACTTTGGTAGTCGAGGGGTTTTTCGTCTCCCTTATGGCCTCAGCTGCATGACGGTCAAGGTTTCAGAAAGTTTGTGCTAGATCATATTACATTACCAAAGTTAGGTACAATAAAACCGAATAAAGGCAAAGGAGCCTTTAGCAAAGCTAGTTTAAAATTTAATATGGTAGCGTTGAGACTTCAGTGCAGTCAGTATTGCAACCTAAGCAAAGCGCTCAAGTTCTAAATAAACGGCCAGTAACTTAAGTTTACGAAATGATTGTATATCAATTATGAATATATGGGTACCATATACGTGTGTTTTTTCTTTTACAGGCCTAAATCTGCACACATGGATTGAGCAGAAATTGGCCGTAGCTGGCGTCATAGATCCTCAGCTTAAACGACTGGCAGACAAACTTCCGAGTGTGTTGGTGAAAGCACAAGCGGCTTCAACCAACAAGAAGTACTTTGGTTCATTTCTGAAATGGAAAACTTTTATAAGTGACAAGGGCGGTGTTGCATTACCGGCCAAATCTGTAGAAGTGGCTTTATATTTTGTCTCTTTATCAGAAACTCATAATAGTTATGCTGTAATTGAAACTGCAAGATGCGCCATACGATGGGCGCACTTGTTGACGAGTCACGATGACCCAACTGCTCATCCTCTAGTTGTCAACGTGCTGGAGTTGTGAAAACGGACACTCAGTAAACCGACTCAACCTAAGGACCCAGTATCTCCCGACATTTTGCACAAACTTTGTGAAGCTTACAAGGATAGTTCTGACCTGACTGTTCTAAGAGATATGGCTATTGCAATGTTATCTTTTGCAGTTTTTTTGCGTTTTAATGAGATTCAAGGTTTGCTTTGTTCTGATGTTCCGAGTTTTGTGGCGATCACGCTGTTATTTACATTAGAAAATATAAAACTGATCAATACCGTCAAGGCAACAAGGTAGTTCTTGCCAAAACAGGCAAGGTCACGTGTCCAGTTTCTATTTTAAATAGATATTTTGAAGCAGCTTCCATTGATACTTCAAATAACTCCCATCTTTTCAGACCTATTTTCAGGTCACGACACCTTTGCCGTCTTATTTACAAAGACAAACCTGTTAGCTATACTATAGTATTGTCGGAAATAGAAAAAAACTGTATTTTCTCATTTATCTCTACAATTTATGTAGTTGATATGTGAAAGCGTGAAATACCTGTTAAACTAAGTTCGGCCTAACTACAGTCTCAGTGGTAGAGAGATAGGAAACGGAGAAAAAGGACTTTACTGAAGAGAGATTAGTGCAGAAATGGGCAATGAGCAACGACTTATTTGGAACAGACCATGGCTTTATGCAAATTAGTGTGCGACGATATTGTATTCTAAAGGACACTTTTTAAATGCCCAATTTGAAATTAGACGTAGATTCATTATAAACGATAGCTGACGTAAATAATAATAACTTTTATGCCGAAACTATTAAGGATGTAGCTACCATGCAGTCTCACTGTCACTATAAAAAGAAACAGATAGGAGGGGTCGCCTCAAAAGCAAAACCTGGGGTCGGGCTTGGGGATAGAGATATCAGCTAAGATAATCCTTTAGGGCAATTGGGGAGGTACACGGCACGTCATAACAATTTACAAATAATATCCAGTCCTGTCGATCTTCGGGTGGTCATGCCACCTATATACTGCGAATCGTTTCTATGGTTTTCGGGTATCATACTCTCTTACATATCTCAACATAAACTTTATGAAAGAAAGACACATAAGATGTTAATCAGTAGATGAGACATAGTCAACACACATGAAAAAGCACAAAATATCTTTGAGATGACCCCTTGTGCCTGTAGGCACCCCGTGCATTTCATGCCAGGTGAGTCGACGGTCCGTCGTCATACCTGGCTGAGCGACCTAATTGCCATCTATAGTCTGATCTATTGTTTTCAGCAGCTATTCGTATTTTTTCTAAGTTTTGCCCGATTTTACGAATAAACATGCTTTTCTGGATATCGTATTACGCATCCCACTGAACGCCCAGTTAGGCCGAAGTGGGTTATTTCGACATATGCTATTTGCAATTTTGTAAATTTTAGGGATACAGAGTAACAGCCTAAAAACATATTTTTTCTATTTCCGACAGTACTATAGAACTAGAGAAACTGTTGTATCTAAGCTTAAAACCGTTTCTCAAGAAGGTAACTGGGGATTGCATTCATTTAGATCAGGAGGGGCGACCGCCGCTGCTAACTCAGGGGTGCCCGATAGACTGTTACAAAAACATGGGCGTTGGAAAACAGATACTGCAAAGGACAGGTACATTGAGGATTCTCTTAAGGCCAGATTGTCAGTTTCCCAAAAATTAGGAATTTAAACTTCCTACCCCTTCTTTTTTGAAGTCTATAAATTGCTCGTGGCAATCCTATTACTGTCTTGGTGTTCTTACTTATTAGGTGTAGTTTAGACATGTTTTCGTGCGTTTCGCAGTACAGCGCGCGAAAATGCTGTCTACACGGAAGTGGCGTTAGTAATGTCACGGGCTCCTTTTTTCAGGTTTGTTATTATTGTGAATATAGTTCAAATACTAAAATGAGCGAAATACTTCTTCTTACTCTTATCAACTACTATTCACTGAATAATGACCCTCTAAATTCTTTCAAATTTCAAAAGCGTATTGCCAATTTTGCTCCTTCGCTGAAAACATAAATAATAATCCCACAATATTCCTTAATTTCGCAATTTCTTGGTGAAACAACATGAAATATTTGATAAATAAAACTTTCAAATGGTGTATAATATTCCTAACTCAAAGTATTCGTTTCCTTACACAAGAGTTAAACATTAGCCTCCTATGTATCATCACTGTACAAGTTGAAAGCCGCTAATACACTTGGTTGATAGTGCTTTTAACTAGCTCTACGATGTATACCCAGTAGAAAGTTTGATATTTCAACAACTAACCAGATACATCAGACCGACCTCTTGTTTCTTCCACACGACAGTGAGTAAGTCTAGTTTTACGCCGTTTTAAGCAATATTCCAACAACATCACTGCTGGGGACACCAGACTTCCACACGAAAAGGGAAAGTGCAAAACAAATAAATATGCTGCTTGTGCACATGGCTGTTCCTCTCTATACGCGCCTCCCTTGTAACAAATAGTGAACTATGTCAATATTTTAATGATAGTTTGTCAATCAATGTTTTCATTGTTAGAACATAAATTTTGCAAAAAAATCACTGAGTTGGTCTGATGTTTTGATTATGATCAGGGTTTCAATGAGAATTATATATGTTAATTAGTTTTCAAGATAGAATGCATCGGTCCGCTTTTGAGACAATGGACTGTAGCCACACAGCATTCCACGATGCATTGTGGAATTGTAAACATTGCTAACGTTGCCATTGAGTCGAGCTGAGACATTTTATCCATCAAAAAGCATAAACGTAATGTTTCCACCAGTGATGTTAGCCGAGTGAAGCAACTTCAAACTAAGAAACGGGGTGCTACGGAGTAGTTTAACGTAGGAGACTGTACGAGGCGATGACAACTGACATGCATTGTGACATCGGTAACCAAGGGTACGTTTGATAAGGGAGGGCAGACGAGAATGGCGTAGTGACATCAATACAGTGTGACGTCATGCTAAAAAGGTCAGTGCCTTTGATCTTTTAGTGAAGCATCTTAGAATATTTCTTAGAGTGTTCATTATACAATCAACATAGAAAGATTATGTTTTTTTAAGGTATTCAAGATGTATGTGCTTGTAATTCTGTGATTACACTATGTGTTCTTTTGAATGGCATTTCAGATCTGACAAATTATAAATGTAATTATTTTCAAAAATGTACATCAGTATATAAGCAAATCTAAACGATTCCAGTTGTCTTCTTTCTATACACCTGTTGTATTATAATATTTCCTCTAAACTGTCAATCTTCTTCTGTGTCTGTATCCTATAATTGCTTGCACAGAAATTAGTTATTGTAAATATCTTTGGAGAGGGGTTTTATAAGTTGTAAGAACTTGTCCCCGATCCTTTTCACTTTGTGAATAAAATATGTTTAAACTAAACTAAACTAACATACCTGGATATTTTTCTCTCATAAATCTTTTATACACGTAAACAATGACAGATACAAAGCCAACCATGATATCAATTAAGTCAAAGCGCACAAAAAAGGTTGTTGTTTGTTTGATGCTTAACTCAGCAATAGACAAACAAAATAGTGTTGACTTGTAATAAACCAAGTCTGGACTACCCTCGATTAGCAGGATCTGCCATGCATTTGAGTAATACCCATTTTGTTTCATCTGGAAACAAGTTACTTGTTGCAGGGGAAAAAACTAAACATATGACAATGATTACAACACGCTACACATTTAAGAAGAACACAAGATGAAGAAGTGTGTACAAAAAGGAAGGATACATACTTGTGTATCTCTCGTGTAGAAAACATGTAGTTCAGGGTTTTTCTGGATGACTCTGTTAACATTGGACTTGACCCGCTCGTCTCCGACAACAATTTTATGCACCTGGTACTGCATGCACAAGAAACGCATCACTGCATCAGGACAGTCAAACAGATCTTTCAGGAAGCTTGAAAAGCCATATTTGCTGCAAAAATAAACACAAAACATATACAAGTGTTTGTCACTAACATGGCAATGTCCTCACAGAAGATTACCTTTTGTGTGATGTAGTTTTTTAGTCAAGGTCACTTCTCAGAATATTCTCCTAACTCTGAAGATATTTCAGGAATATAGTAGATTTGAATGTATAGATGCAGATACACATATCCACTGTCAGTATCTGTGTGTTTCAGGGCTGGGACGGGTCCAAATTCTCCACCTGGTACCCCATCCCCTATTACCCTATCCTACCCTGATACCCGTTATGTTAATTCCTGACATGGCAATATATTCTTCAGCTCAGAGGCTCAAATTGGGCACAATGTTTTATAAAATATTACTTATACATACGTTTGAAAAGTTGTCAAAGTGTCATGGTGACCTTGAAGATGCAGTCAAGATCACCCAAATCAACTGGTGTCTGCGTAGTCCCCAATGCCAATGTAGGCTGTCACCAAATTTGAAGATAATGGGTACAAGAGTGCATGAGATATTGTGTTAACAAAGAGTCTGAAAAGTGGACAAGGTGTGGTAGTGACCTTGAAAATAAGGTCACGGTCACTCAAATTGATTGATGTTTGCAGAATTCCTTAATGTAGGCTGTCCCCAAATTTGAAGACATTGGGTACAACAGTTCATGAGATATCGCGTTAACAATACATAGTCACCAGTTCCGCGTTGCAGCGGGGGTCAATAACCGAGTGTGCCAAGAATGAGAAGTAGTAATGATCTTCACTTTCCTAAAAGCTCCTTTGACCAGCTACTGAGACATCAAGCATACAAATGTGAATAGGTAGAAAATCAGGACACATCAGAAAAATAACGGTGACTTTAATAAAATGTCTTAAACCTCAACAGATAAATGTTTACCCCTCCCTTTGAGAACTCATCTAGGAAATCCATTTGTCATCAATAGCAATCTCCATAACACTGACATGAGACAAACAGTTTAACAGTGTAACAGGGGCATCTGTCTGTCATTTGCAACTGCATCCCAGAATTCCCAGAATTCCTGACTGGTTCGTTACCTCTGCTGCGCCACCCTCATGCGTAATTGATAGTATAAGTATAGACTGATCAACAAAGATGAAATCGTTTTTACTCAATAATCTTATGTTGATTTTGTTGTAAAATTATGTAGACTTTGATGAATAATTTGGTTTCTTATACAAATATATTCACTTTGATACAAATGCTGATTTTGATGTAAAATTTTGATTTCATAGTAATGTTGACTTTATAAAAACGTTAACGTAAATGGATGTAGAATTTGATTTAAGAAATAGTTTGACCTTGAATTTGGTGAGAAGCCTGATATAATAGCATTGTGTTGAAAATAAGGCTAACTAAGTACATGGGGAGTCTTGCGGAGAGTAGTGAGCTTGGGTTGACTACTAGTCAATCTGAATGTTGTATTAAAGGTTATCTCCCATTTGACAGACACCCATTTGACAGACACCCAATTGACAGACACTGAACTAGAAGGTTAATTAGGGTAACACCTACGGGTATAATGGAACAGTCCACTGTCTGGTGAGTAGAGCAGGGTGAGCCTGAAACAGGTTCGTTACTGACAAGTTTGATTGTGGGTAAATAGAACTTTGTTGTGATTAAATGATTTCTCGTCTCAAAATTGATTTTACTATCAATTACTATCGAATATAAAAACAGGTTTGTCACTGAGAGGTTTGATTGTGTTTATTGATAGAGTCCCCTCCCAATAATAGCATATGTACAACAGAAGTTAACTGAGAAAACGTTTTGTTGGAGAAATATAGATATGTACATATTTGAAAACATTCTTATTTGCAGTAAATGAGACACCTGCTTTGTCATGTAAGATACGATTAATACCAATCAGTGTTCTAATTTAAACAATACTTTCTAAAGATTGTAACACTTTATGTCTTTGAGTAGTATACAATGGACATTCAAGGAGGTAATGAAAAACATTCTCACATCCATGGCCACATTGACATGATGCGTCATATTTTAAATATTTATTCTAAATAAATCGTAACTAAGTGCAGTCGTCATATATCTTAATATTGTGTGCAAAACATATAACTTCTTTATCCCAAATGAATAATATTTAGGTTCACATTTATCTATATTTGATTTATACGATACAACAGTGTCGCAATTTCTAATAGCTAAGCTAATGTTTTCAATATGATGATACCGACTCCCGTTAGACTAGAAGGTTAAACCGAAATGTTTATGAAAATAAACAACCTGTTAATAAATAAACTGTTTTTATATTGCAGCAATAAATATTCAAATTACTGTCTTTTCGACCATCTTTCCAAATAAATAATATAGCTTCAGTTTGTTCCTGTGTTTTTATTTGGACTATTCCATTATAATGTGTAGGTTACAGGTAGAAGATAATCTGTTCACTGAACCGTAAATGTTGTTGTTTTAAGGTGTCTGCGAACTGGCTGTCTGCGTAATGGGAGGACACCGTATTAAAAGGCATTATTTTGATAACAAATGAAAACATTTTAAGTTTAACCATCTGCCAGTGGTAAAAAATGCTAGGACTGAAAAAACGAAGTCAATGTACGTCTTTATGTTTTGTCTTATAATCCTTATTAGTTTATTATCATATTTGTATGCATTTTGAACGCATTGACTTATGGCCCGAGTCCTGTCTCTGTCACATTATGTAATTACACAGACAGGCAGGTGTGATACTTATACACATGACATGTATCCAAGGCAGGCTATCAGGAGCCCAGGTGGCCCCCATGCATTAAGCGATTTCACTTATCAAACACTCGATATCAGAAGCCCAACTGGCCCCCCACTCATTAAGCACAGATACCTATCTAAGACAACATCGATCAAAGTGCATTTTGGCCAGTAGTTCACATGTCCAGTTAGGATAATTAGGGGCCTAAAGTACTGTCGGAAATAGAAAAAAACTGTTTTTAGGCTGTTACTCTGTAGCATTAAAATTTACACAACTGCAAACAGCGTATGTTGAAATAACCCACAGAGGGATGCGTAAGAGGGTATCCAGAAAGGCATGTTCACTCGTAAAATCGGGCAAAACTTAGAAAAAATACGAATAGCTGCTGAAAACAATAGATCAGACTACAGATGGCAATGAGGTCGCTCAGCCAGGTATGACGACGGACCGTCGACTCACATGGCTTGAAATGCACGTGCTGCCCACAGGCACAAGGGGTCACTTCAAAGATATTTTTTGCTCTTTCATGTGTATTGAATATGTCAGACTCTATTGATAATCTTGTCTGAGCTAATATCTCAGTTCCCCAGTCCAACCCCAACCACCGTCTGCGACACCCGTCCTGGTTTTGCTTTTGAGACGACCCCTCCTACCTGTTTCTTTTTATAGTGATAGTGAGACGCCATGGGAGCTACATCCTTAATAGTTTCTGTATTAAAGTTATTATTTTTTACGTCTGCTATCGTTTATAATGAAGCTAAGTCTTATTTCAAAATAATCATTTAGAAAGTGTCCTTTGTAATATAATATCATCACACACTAATTTGCATAAAGCCATGGTCTGTTCTGAATAAGTAGCATTGGACTTAGAAAAACAATGCATTGCTCATTTCTGCACTAAACTCTCTTCAGTAAAATCCTTCTTTTACGTTTCCTATCTCCCTCCCACTGCGACTGTACTTAGGCCGAACTTAGTTTAACAGACATTTCACACTTTCACATATTAACTACCTAAATTATAGACATAAATGTGAAACAAGAAAAAATTGTGTCCAGGGACACGGATGCCCCCGCTGACATTCATAAGACATATAAAGATCAATAATTGAACAAAATTCACGAACAAGTTCAATAAACATCTATGCAACTATGACATGCACACCTTTCGAGTCTCAATGAAACACATGTATAAGCTTAATCAATTCTGTTGAGCAGTTTTTGTGGAGAAGTGGATAGACTTAATCCCCTATTTCACTATCATCAAAGAGAAATTCAGGAAAATTTATCTAAGTTCAAAATTCTCTAAACATACAAAAAATGATAAAATACGAAAACAAAATAAGAGATGCACTCTATAAAAGACAAATGTAAGCTAAATGAGTTTTGTGCAGTGTTTTTTGAGGATAAGTGGATAAAGTACACCCCCTGTTGTATGGGACGAACTGGATGAATAGAGACAATTCAAGTTCAAACATCTGTAGAAGTGACAAAAATGTAATTTTCTGAATAAAATTGATATTTTATACTTATCCTGACTCATGCTTAATGCTTGTCTCCTTCCTCTTGCGAACGTTAGTGGAACACCTGTATCTCCTATTGAAGCTCCCTTCAATAAAGAACAGACGTAAATTCACTCCTCCCAAGAGTTATCTCCCCTGCTGTTTAGGCGGGAAACTGTGGCGCCCCCGTCCCCACATGCCTCACTCTCTCCTGAATATGAGCCCGACACTTGAATTTGCAGGGAAATCCAAAGTGTCTAGTGGGGAGGCTGGGTGGGCTTACCTCATGAGTCAGGATAAGTATAAAATATCAATTTTATTCAGAAAATTACATATTTTTCCTTATCCTGACTCATGCTTAATACTTGTAGAATCCGACGGAGAAGGCGGCGGGCAAGCTACTTTGGATTTCATGTAGTGATTTACGTCTCTATACCCCCCTATGGGAACTTCGTGTTGGCACTGTCTGCTGCTGCTGCGACCCTGTCCTTCTAGCTGCCTTAGATGGGGGGACCACAATAGTTAACTTTTGGTCCTTTCTTCTGTTAACATTTTATGTGGATTTTGTGACTCCATCTCTTGATGCAAGCACCAAGTGGAGAAGCGACCCTTCCTGTACAAGTATCCTTACAAGTACTGGGTCATATTGCTTATGCAAGTATCCTTACAAGTACTGGGTCATATTGCTTATGCTAGTCTGTCCTAGACGTGCATATAGACCTAGCAAAACTCTCCAGAGTGTAGGCTTTGTAAGTCATGAGATAAAAGGGGCGAGACTCCGTCTCAGCGCCT